GGTGGGGAGGAGGCAGTAACAGTCGAGTACTAAGCTGTGGAAGTCCAGACAATGCCCCGGGGGACCTGCGTGACAGCAGAGGCGGGAATGTGCCGACAGGCAGATATCCCCCCTGATGAGTGTCTAACGATGGCGTTAGTTTACCAAACACATGCTATCATCAGTAAATACTACTATAGCCAGCCAAATCAGCCCCCTGAGCAGTGAGGTTCAGTGTATAAACTTGCAAAACAAAAGCGAAAGGCAGCCTTGTAAACGCAGATTTCAAGAGTCCAAGCAACTCCACTGCTCCGTTATGCCCCACCTCATTCCACTCTGCATCACACACTTTCTGTCATTCCCTTTACTCTCTGATGCCTCCTGCGGTCACATTGGAAGCTGCGATGCACCTAGCCAGACCCACCCTCAGGCCAATGCCCCAACTGAAGCTGCATGTTTGATGTCTCCTCTCCATCTGTGGTGTAAACCCCACCCCCTGTCACAGACTCCACTCAACTCCTCCTCAAGCTCAGACCACACCCAGAGCCCGCCTCAACCCCTCAGGCTCCCCACCTGGGATGTGCAGGACTCCAGTCTGGGCCCATGCCCCAAGACTGGGGGTCATCTTCCTCTGCCACTGGCTGCCTCCCCTGGAGATGTTCAAAATATGGAGAAATGACACAGTGGGGGTATCCAGTATACACATTCGCAGGGAGGCAGAGGGACAAGGAAAGAGTGCAATTGGCTGCACCATCATCTCCCCACATGCCTATGACTGCTCATGGGAGTTTTACTTACACAAAATGTTCTGAGAGCAGATGGAAAGATGATTGGTTCACAGAGATAACCAATCAGGTTGTTGAAAAGGTGGGTCCAAGCAACTATAGGAGGCGGGTCCAACCGATCAGATATCTTGGTCCAACCTTATTTATATGCTGTGGGGGTGGCTGTATGTGTATGAGTATGTGTGTTTTTGTGTGAGAGGAAGAGAGAAAAAGAAAGAGAGAGAGAGTACACAGATGGATACAATTTCTAAGCTTTTCCCCTAATTGACAAAAAAAACCACAGGACGCCGTGGGCGCCAGTTTTGGGGGGGGACTGGACTAGCCCCCAGGTTATAATTTTGTTGTCCTATGTTACTTAATATAGACCGTGCCCTAGAAAAGGAAACCCAGAATTATTCTCGCTATGACAAAGCAGCCTGCATATAAGAGGTGACCTTCAGCCATGGGGAGGGGGGGGGAGGGCTCACCACCCAGCACAAGGATGTTGATGGGGATGATGATGATTATATGATGATGATGATGATGATGATGATGTTAAAGCCCCTGCACATTGATGATTCGATGATATTAAAGGCCCTGTGTTCCAGTCTGGGCCAATTACAGGGGGGGGGGGGCTAACCATACCCTCTCTCGGTACCAGCGCTGTTCAATATGCATGCGGCTCAGTAGGTTCAAATACTCTGTTATTGGAAGGTTGCAGGTTCACATCACGGCATCAACTGATGTCACCGATGGGGCCCTAAGCAGGGTCCTTAACCCCCATGTATGTTGCTTTGGATAAAAGCATCTCCTAAATAAATAAAAATGTAAAATGTGATGGAGGAAGGAGGCCAAGGTGTTCTGTGTGATGATATGATTTGCCATGGTATGCCAGATTTGCCATGGTGGCTCAGACGTGAAAGGGAAGCCAATTGAAGGTCCTCCAGGGCATGAATTCACTGGGGGGGGGGGGGTGGGGGAGCCCCGCAGGCACTGTTTGCTGCCAGGAGTACGGAAAGGCCATGCACAAACAGCACCCCCAGCTGCATGGTCCAGGGATCCACAGGCCACACCTGTGGCCACGAGGGCTCAGTCTGAGTTGAGGGAGGAGTAAAAAAAAAGGCCCATCCAAAAGGGGCAGGGCAGAGAGCTGTGCCACCCCCAAACGAGAGCTACTCCAAGCCATCTGAGCAGCAATGTTGCTGAAGCTTTTGGGTCATAGGTAGGACAGGTGCTCCCTGTTAACCGGCTGGGCTGTGGTGAGAGGGCCCATTGCTGGCAGGTACGTGGCCCCAGATAAGCCTGGTGATGGGGAGGGGGGGGGGTAGGGGCAGCCAGCCACCTGTTCCCCTGGGAAACAGGGCATAGCCTAAAGCAAACACCCCCACAATGCGTAGCCCTCTGTACACACTCAAAGGAGCACCTGCCACATGTGAGGGGCACTATAAAGATAAGAGAGCCTCCCACTGGCTGCCTGGGCAGTTACTGAGGATACCGCCCGCCCAGCCTGCAGGAGCCACACGGCAGCACTGCGTGGCTAGGGCCCCTAACACAACCACCATCCTGCCCTCCACGCAGGCCAGCGGGGGTTGTGTGCATCGTGATCTCCCTGGAGCTTTTCACCTGTAGGCTTCTCGCCAGCGGCATATCACCGCAGAGACAGGCATGACGTTAGCGTTATGACGTGGGATGTTGGCCTCGTTATTTCAGACCAGGTCATGGAATGCTCCCCCCGCTTTATCATGTGGATTTACTATCAGGGCCTCAGAGCAGAAGGCACTGTGATGGGGGTGGGGGGGATTAGGCAGAGGTATCAGGCCGGCCCCCGGAGAGAGAGAAGACAGCGCCATCTGTCCCCCCACCCCCCCTTCTGAGATTTCAGGCAGATGTGACAGTATCACCCCTGATGGGCCCCAACAATAGCCCCAGTGACAGGTGCGTGTGCCCCCCCCACCCCCACGAGGCAGATGAGAGGCTCAGTGGCCTTGCATGCTTTCATCTGCCCAACAGCAGGGCTGTCGACCGCCCCCGACCCTTTGCCCCGCCCTCTGGCCCTCATTGGCTGAGCCCCCTCCTCTCCCTATCTCACTGGCCCCGCCCTTTTCCCCTCCCCTCTGGCCCTGCCCCCCCCCCCAACATGCAGCCATTCAACACCTGCTGCTGTAGTGGAATCACTGCACACACAAACAGCCAAAGGCTACAAACACAAACCACTGACTATACTGACACTCAAACAACCAAGGCGACAGACACAGAAACAGCCAAGTGCACAGACCAAAGACACACATCAACATGGTCTGACTACACACACACCTCCACAAACATGCACATGACTATTCACTGCCTGTATAAGACACAAATACTCTTAGCACATTCAGGTGATTGGATCCAATTCCTTACAGGCAGTCATGAAAGAGAAGGGAGGGAGCAGTGCAGGCTGAGTAATACCCAGAAGCCCAGAGCATTCTCAAATTATCTCTGAAGAGCGACAGGATCTCTGTCCAGAGATCCAGCTGTCACACTTCTGGCCTACTCTGCTGGGGGTGCTCTGTGGTTGTTAGCCCGTCTAGAGCCTCCATCCTGGGCTAGAGCGCTCGCAGCCAGTCAGGTGGACAGCAAGCTTGCTGATGGTGGTGTTGGGGGGGGGGGGGTAAGTAGCAGTTTGCGGATAGCTGGAAGACATCCTGGAGCAGCAATCAGAAGCCAGCTTTGAACCATTCTCCCATCAGCAATTGTCACATCTTGGGAAGACGCGATCAGTCCGGGAGAGGGGAAACCACTGTTGCCTGGAATAGCGGGCAGGGGAGTGCTTAAATTAGGCCCTGCAGTCATAACGCTGTTGTGGCCCTGCACGCTCACTGCGGTTTCTGTCGCAAGACAATAAACTATTTTCCTCTGGGCGGGAGTTTCAAAGAGGGCTGCTCACGTGCCTCACTTGTGTGGCAAAGTGGCAGCCCAGGAGCAACAAGGGGAGGGGGGGCATCACCCTGCTGCCCAGTAGCAATGGGGTCCAATACCCCTGGCCAGCTCAACCAATGAAGGGGCTACAATTAGGATAGAATGGGGGGGAGCATTATAGGGTTAGCTCACCATGATGCGGGACAGTTCACCGTCCGATTTAAAACCAAGGCAGACGGCTTGGCTCAGGTAAGTGTTAACATCCTCCAAGCAGAGCAAGCTGACCTGGGTAGTGGGCGGGGGTGTCAAACCATCAGACTGGAGAGAGGGAGCTGGGGTAGCATTTCCAAAGAGGGGGCTGGATTAAACAGCAAGATGATAGGGGAATTACAGAAGTGGGGAGACACCCCCCCCCCCAACCAGCGTGAGCACAAAGGCTTCCAGTGAGTCACACACTGTAACCGTAAAAGGCTGCAGAATTTCGCCATGTGACTGCAGCCACGGCCACCTCAGCTGCACTTCAATGAGACTGACAGTGGCCAGCAGCGGTATGTTCCGTTCTCCAGCAGAGATGGCAGGCCCCAGCTCCTGCAGCTCGAAGATAGGGAGGAAGCTCCTTACCCGAATGGCCCTCGTTCCTGGGCCTTAGCCAAATGACAGCAGCATCAGATCTGGGGGTCCCGGTAGGAGGACAAGCAGGACAGAGCATGAGCAGGAATGTCAACCAATAAATGCTAATATCTTAAAGGGGAAGGCTGTATGAAACACCAAATAAAGCTTTAAAAAGGTAGAGACAGTGAGGGCGCTCACCCACATTGCTCGGAGGGGATGGGCATACCAGCTCCTGCAAGTGATTTCCAGGAGACATAAACCATTCCTTGGCCATGGGGGCAGGGACTCTGGGACCTGTGGCCAGACATAAATCCATGAGGAACATGGGAGTGGGGGCGGTGTCATGTGGTCACATGATCAGACTCAGACTCACCACTGAGTCTGATGATGCTTTCCATTTGCCCTTGGAACTCGGAGGCAACAGACACAAGATCCGAGTTTTGAAGCCAGAAGTGACGACATGCGCGCTTCCGTTTCTCGGAGATCCGAGAAATATCACGGACAGCACAGAGGATCCCAAGTTCAGAATCCAAGATGGCTGCACCCTTTATCAATAGAAGGGAAAGTTGTAGTTTTATACTGTTTAAGCACTACTTCTCATTTGTGGCTCATTAAATCGGTTGCACACTCTATACCATCCAACTTATCTGTGGACATGTTGCTACAGAGTTTTATACATAAAGCACCGCACTTAATGTGTTATCAACTGATATTGCTAACAATGACTAACAATTAACCGGGCTTGAATTGGATTTCATGATTAGTCGGATCATTTGTCAGATTTAAGGAAGTTCGGACTAATTGCAAGTGAACGAAGATAAAGGCCATTTAAACTGAAGTACCTTAAATCTGACAAGTTGTCCAGCTAAGCAAAAAATCTCACTTTTTCATATGGGTCCATGGTATTGCTACTTGTGTGGCAAGTGGAACGCATCCGAGTTTTTAGCGGATGTGATGTAATCTCGGAATCCGAAAATCGGATCCCAAGGCGAATGGAACGCACCATGAGTCTCTGAGTCTCATTCCAGCTTGGGGTGCAAAGCCACTGGAGGGAGAGGGATTCAGTCTGCACAGCCTAGCTTAACATGGACATACTTGCTCTCTGCAAACCAAGGCTTATCTGCTCTAACTCAGGGGCCTTGACTTTCAGATAGAACCCATATAAAAGACCTCAAATCACACTGAATGTCCTTTCTTGGCAAGCTGATGTCTTATGCCTGGATTATACTTCTGTGTCAAGCCTATGCTGTGATCTACACAAGTGGCCTATGCCCTTGCGAGCATTTATACTTGCGCGTTTACACTGCTATAACACTGCTATAACACCAGGTGATACATAGCTTTGGATGTTGTATTTACAGTCTTTCCACCCCGTGACATATTCAATTGATGAATCATACAATTGAAACACAAAAAAAACAAACATTTAACAAAGTATCCATTTATGAAGTCCTGGTTACATTTGTGCTGCAGACAAATTTGGAAAAATGTCAAACCTCTACTAAGTCACTTTTAGACATCTTCTACAGTTAGTGTTTCCACTACTTTTTACATTCTTTTTAGTCTTGTAAAGGACGAATAAACTTAATGGAGGTAAGTGAAATTAGCGTTGTCATCCTGAGTGTTTTGTAGATCTGTTGCTACGATGCCTAGGGTGGGTTATTTAACACTAGATATAAATAACGCTCCAGTTACAATCACCTATATAAGTACACTGGGGATGTACGCTTACTTTGCTCCCATAAAAAAAATTAATGCTACCAAGCAGACCAATCACAGCTCTTGCAGTCTGCATTGCCTTTGCTGCGATGTGTAGTTACATTTCTGGGAGAGTGCATGTCAGGCAACTGCATAGACTTCAGCATAGGGTGCTGTCTAAGATAGAGCTGCTATCTAAGATGACCAGGACCACAAACAGAGAATAGCAGGACCACCACACCTTCAGAGAACTTCAATGGGGAAATGGCAAGTCACATACAGTCAGCATACAGTCTGCATCTTCAGGACACCTTACCAGGTGGGGTGGGCATTGGGAGCCCATAGATGCTCCTGGCGGGTCGGTACTTGAGCCCCTTGGAGGGTAGCAGCGTGCCCACATCCTCCAGGCTGTTGCTGCACTCCACCAGGCCATCATGGAGTATGCCATACACTATGAAGCACTTGGCCTCCATGTGATTCTCCCTGGCAACCTGGAGAAGAAACAGTGGTGGTGATGGGATGTCAGACAATCACAGCGTGCATGACAAGTGGGTTCATCCCAAATAAGGCAAAAACGAATTATATCATTCACAGACCTTTGGATCACACAAAAGCAAAAACTGCATCTGAATCGTTCACAGGGCCACTCATGTCTGACTAATGATCCCCAATGAAACCTTTTTCCTGTAACAGTAGAAGTGACCCCAGTTGCACCCCACTTGTAATGCATAATGTGTGTTTTTCTGAATTTGCCTCTAAAATATCTGCCCCTGCATACCTATCCATGGCAAATGCTATGGGGGCAGGTGAGAGGTCACCCATGGTGACCACTGACCTGGAAGCAGACAGGCATGCACACCTTTCTCCAGCAGCGCTTGCTTTTCCTCTGACACAGGAAGCAGGGTCACGCCTCCTGACATCCCCTCAGAGGGGCGATGCTCCCTGATGAAGAACACCATTGAAAATACCTTGTTGCCTTGATGACAAGGAGCCTCAATCCTGTATGCAGCCACACAGTCCCTGTGCAGCTGCTACTCGGGCATGATGCACGCTAGAAGCAGCAGGTCAAAGACTCACAGTCAGAGGGTGTGACATCGCCTCTCCCTGCTGAACATCACTGTGCTCATAGGATCTAGACACAGCAGACTTGCAAACAGGTAAGGGTGCTGTCAAAGATGAGGAAGTCTGTGTCCTGACCCAGGATGCTCATGCAGCCATGTTGGCAGGCATAATCAGCAATTTCATAATCGGCCTCATGCATCATGCTCCATGTCTCCTGGCACTTGAGGTGGAAGCAAGAGAACATGGTGAGAGCAGAGGGAAGGCAGGGCATGGCACTGCGGTCCGGCTGTCGCTCTTGCAGTCTCAGGTAGCAGAAGAGGGCGGCAACCTCCTTGCTCAACTCCAGCTGCCTCCTCATCCAATTGGCCTACTTGCTCACCCCCACCACGCCATCAAAGAAAGACACCAGGTGTATGCCGATCTGGGAGAAGGCCCCCACAAAGTCACATAGACAGTGCAGGGACTTGTGCCACTGGCCACTCTGCACCCAAGCCAAGCAGCAGTACCACAGCTGCAGGCAGAACATGCAATCCGCCACCAGGGAAGGCCAGCTGCCTGGGCAAGCCTGCTGCTGCCAGCTCGCTATCTCCCTCAGGCCCACCTGCATCTGGCCCGACATTCTTTACAAAGCCCTACAGACTAACCCAAAAACCTGCACCCACACCACACTGGACCTCCATGGAAGAGCTTCCCCACTCCTGATTTAAAAAATAGTTAGAGATGCATGGCAAATTAGCTACTTAGCTAAATAGTTAGCTATGTTGAAAAAGACACTCAGTTAGGTGAGGAACCTACATATACACTATGAAACTACACTCACCTAAAGGATTATTAGGAACACCTGTTCAATTTCTCATTAATGCAATTATCTAATCAACCAATCACATGCCATGTAGAATTAAGGCAGTTCTGAAGGCGAAAGGGGGTCAAACACCGTATTAGTATGGTGTTCCTAATAATCCTTTAGGTGAGTGTATATTGCAATCACTGTTAAATGGCACATTTATTTCCTTTTTAATGTTTCTGCATTAACATATACTCTCTCGAAAGTAGAAAGAATGGGTGTGTCCGAAATCGCGCACCTGGGCACTTTTAGTGCGCAATTTTAGGGCGTAGTGCGTTCACACTGACAACTAAGCTAAAATTCAGTGCACTGAGACTCTCTTGAGAAAACGCAGGGCAGAATGTTGGACACTACTCGCACTAAACGGACGCCATTTTGACTACGTAGCGGAAGGGGAGGGACTTTCGGCAAGTTTTCAGAGTTGAATTAAGGCGGACAAGAACATTAATAAAATTATTTTACTGATGTATACTGCGGTGTGTAGCCTGTCACTCTCTGACGACAGTTATAGATACTTTGAGTTTGCGATTATATCGACTTAGAAGAGTTCGCACACGTAAATGTTAGCAGTTTTTTAGCCGGTTAGGCGGTCGTAGATAGGTTATATACACGCAAATAAAACCACAAGGAAATTCATTGTAAACAAAACACGGCAGATATTTTGGCGCGCTCGAGAATCGCGATCAAATGCTAGTCCGTCACTTCCGGTAAGTGCAGAACGTTAGTGTTCCATTTAGGACAGCACTTACCTATGGTAGTGTGCACTACAGAAGGAAGTGCGCACTACGCACTACATCTCAGTGCACTGACGCAAGTGCGCGATTTCGGACACAGCGAATATATTTGTAACATTGGCGTGTGAGTTTTTAAACACGCCCGTTTCCGGTCGCGGTTTGGTGACGTCAACCCGCTGTGTCCCTGCCTTCAAGTCATGTAGGAAAAATCGTAAAAAGGAGGTGAGCTTATGAATATTTACCAGTGGAAAACTCGGAATTTTCCTCAAGGCTCGAGTTCCCGAGTTGGGGGCGTGTCATTACAACAATAATGGCGGAGGCCACGCGTAGCTCCACTGTGAAAGGATTTTTTTTTTTTTTAAAGTAGTACATTTTATATAGAGTGTAATTGCAAAACTCTGAATTGTTTTGCATGCTGAAAAGATTGTTAGTAAATGGTGTGCCGTGAAAAGACATAAATATTTGTCTTGTAGTTGGCTAGCTACCTGCTGTTTGAGCAAGGGATTGCGAAATTTTCAATTAACGCTACAAATAAGTCTAGGCGTTGGAGGAACGAAAAATACAGCAAAGCAAAAAGTAGCTTTCTTATCGCTTCCATTTTGCTTCGACTTAACTTGAACACGCGTCGTATCGTAATTACGACTGCCCAATTCCCCTATTCGGATTAACACAATGGTTAAAGTTCTTATGTTGCTTGAGTAGCGGTTCTAAAATACAGCTCCCATGTTAAATTATTTTGAGAACATAGCTGACATCATTACAGTATATACGCCAAATATCTTATCGAAATAAATGTATTCTTTTAGTTGTGTGAAGTTTCTCACATTTATGTAATGTTTTATCTTTAGTTTCAAAGTGAGCTCGTACTGCGTCGTTGTTTATTGATTTTTGGTAGATTTTATTACAGTACATTTTACTACGTATAAATAAATATCTTTGTCCTTTTGCACGTTAATTTATTGTCCTCATTCACACTTTATTGAGATTCTGAGAGCAATGGATATAGCCAACTGGCAAGCCATAAAATTCACCTAATAAAATTCTGACTTGCATTAAAGACGGACTTATGTACTGTGTCGGCATTTATGCAATGTTTTAACTAAACATACGAAACATATAGGCCTGTAACATTAAAATGTTATTTAAAAATTCATTGTCGAATAAAATTAAGCGTTTTCGTTTATGAATGAAATACAATCACTGATGAAGAACGACATAACATAGCATGGGTCTCCAGGGAGTTAAGACGAATATATTTGGTGACTTTATGAACACAAAGTAGATCCATTGTGAGCGTGTCTTGGGAAGTGTGAATAGGAGGAACATATGCGCGCTGTCACTGCAGGTGCCTACATCTGTTTATTTCTGGGCAGATGCTCTCGAAGGGATGGGAAAGGATAAGCATCGCCCCGTTTTAATTCCCCCTTCATACGTTTGGGATTTGGGGAAGGCCAATATTAGTTTACAAATAAGTACAAATAGTGGACTGATAGGCCTATATAAGGTAGATTTATACACCTCTCTTTTTTAGCTGTGGGTTTTTTTTGGTATGTAAGTATGGTAATTAGATCGCATATTAAAGTCAAATTTGTGGGGCGATGTTTAGGTCTAAAATTCTAAATATAGACCTGTTACAGTGCTTCTCTGCAGTTTTTGGATATCATTAACCAATGGTCATATTTGAAACTGATAAAAATATATTGAGTAATTATTTATCTTTTAAAACTTTCCAGGTATGTAAGTTTCAACTTATAAAATGCAGCGCATGTTTTCTGATATTATGATGCATCTTCCACCTTGAAGACGTTTCTCGTTCAGCTTAGAACGCACGTTGAGGTTTCCCAAAACGTGGTCGGACCGAGACGACTATAATTCTTTCCTTTCTATGTCGACTTGCGCCTGATGTCGCTGGCAATCTGTTGGTCTGAATACGTGCATAGCCTTCTATTGTCCTCTTTCTTTCCCTTCCTGTCATAGCCCTGGACTCCTATACGTCTACGTGCAATCAAATGAACTAAACAGCCCCGGGGAAAGAGGCAGATGTTCTTTGGAAGACATCGGCACGCGACTGCCCTCTACTCTGCTGAAGCATTCAATTGAATCTCAGCATCAGTCTACCCCCACCCTCCAGCATGCACACATACGCACCCTCTGTGGTGCACCGGCCACTCCCAAATAACATCCCCCAATTGGCTTCCTGCCTGACCCCAGCAACAAACAGATCGACAATACCGTCACTCTCAGACTGGTCCTTGTCCCTGTAGAACAGCTGGCCAAAGTAATCTGACCTAGAGACAAAAGAATGCCTCCTCGGTCCCAGGATCACAGGTAAACACGCTGTCATTATCATGAAAATTAGGCTCAACGCAGAGCTGCAGCAGATGATTTGCGCTGTTTTTTTCTCTTCCTTTTTTTCCAAAAGGGGAGAGATGCAAACCTGCCGCTTATCCATCATCTGCCTTATCTGTGAACCAGCCTAGCCACGCGACAGACCCTTTATTATTATAATTAACGCATGCCTTTGCAGCATCACACATGATCACGAAAAGAATCCTTTATCCTTTCTCTAAAGTATGTTCGACTTACATACGTCCTCCCTTTGAACCCAACCCAGCATCCATAATTAGAGGGAAAGGAACTGAAAAGGAGGAGAATACGCTCGCCCGTCTCCTCCTTACCTCACGCCTATGTTTTGTATTTATTTTATGCCACAGGATTTCGAGTTTTAACTAGTACCTATACCAACCCTCGTTTCCGGAACTATTTGTTAATTTCAATAATTAAATAAATTTAAATAATAGGTTAAATATTGTTTTTTGTTAATAATTTCAGCGCACCCGCGACGTCCTGAACCAAGATTACCGACCGAGCCGGATTATAATGGCGAGTATGATCGTTACGGTGTGATGCATACCATGTCCATGTTCCCATGAACTCTTGATTCACAAAATGAAACTTATGGCTTCCCCCACCATATGGCGAAGGCCATACCGTTGCAGGTTCTTTAACATGCTTGCAGTTCAATTTGGCTGAAGGCTGCGTAATATGTAAGCGAAACAGTGGAGACATGCAGTTGGAGGTGGAAAAAAACGCCATTTGGTTGGGAGCAGATGGTTGGCCGGGAGACCGGCCGCGTCTGAAGGCGTGTCCTGCCCTTCAGATAGAATCCCCAAGGGTTCCCCTTGTATTCAAAATCAATGAAAATTAAAGCGCTAAGAAAAGATGAATAGTCAGACCTCGAGTCCCTCCTTTGTTCATCCCAGCTACTGGTGGGCAGGAGTTAAACTACAACAGCCCCCTATAGAAACACTTAAGTTAAACAGTCTCTCCATAGTCCACATTGTGAAAGAGCGAGAGAGTACGAAAAAGAAGCTTTCTGCTTGATTTAACCAAGACAGAATCGCGTGGCATAAATTAAGTTTGAAAAGAATAAGTGTACTGGGCAGGATTCTGAAGGGTTTCACCATGTCCTTCAGTTACGCTTTGCTGCAGAAATCGAGAAATGTGTGCCACGTCAATTTAATAAATACCTGATGGGTTATGTTGAAGAAATGACTGCCGCATTGTTTTTCTCTTATACGATCTTACGCGTGTAACTTTTTTATACAACTCCAAAAGATTAGTTAAAAAGCGGACGCCTGAAAGCAGAGAGCAACCTGTGTTGCGCAACAGATGAGCATGTCATGAGGTGGACACCAGGAATGTTATGGGAACGAAATAACGAAAATGAAAATCAAATTAATGTTTTGGAAAACATTTGTAGTTAACGTTTATTCGAAAATAACAAAATATATTGAGAGTATGAGATTAAAGATTTGTTTACTCGAAACTCTCTTGAGCGTGTCCAAGTAAACGAATATAGCATAATATAGAGCCTTGCGTAAGTTTACAAAAATCTTGCTACTAAATGCCTTTGACATCCTGAACAATACTCTTAGAGATCTCTTCGCTGTTATGTAACGCATCTCAGAAAACAAACAAAAAAAAACACTCCCATTCTCAAAATGAAATTCCCGTTTCAATTAACGCCCTAATTAAGTAACCCCTTCTACTCACGGTGCACACACACCCGCGCGCGCGGATTTGTAATTATATCTTTGTGGGGACTTTCCATTCATTTCTATGGGGAAAGCTCTAATTACAACATGACGACCTTAACCCATACCCAGCCCTATCCTTAACCACGAGTAACCAAACAAAATACGAAACTTCTGGCATTTTCACTTTTTTGATTGCATCCACAGATCTTTGTGGGGACCCGAAAAATGGTCCCCACAACATGAATAAAAAACATTTTTTATTATATATTGTGGGGGACATCTGGTCCCCACAAAGTAATATAACCCTAATTCACATACATACGGACGCGAAAGTACACGCACGCACGTGACTTCTTATACCGTAGAGTGGGTTTAAAAGCCCTGCAGTCAACTTTAAAATAACTTTTAGCAGCAGTATCTACTGCAGTTTCATTAGACTGGGCTTATTAAGAGAATCACATAGTAAAACAACACAGGGCGAAAACAAACAAGTGTCCCACTGTCTGACGGTGGAAATAATGAGATGACGGTTGGTACGTTATTTTTTTCGCTGCAAGGGCAACTTTTTTCAAGCTGATGACATTGTAGAAGGGAGTGCAGCGCGCGCCTAGGGGAGCTCTTTCTTCCTGTTATATTGAAGGGAGAGCAGGTGCTGCCCGGATTACCATACAGCTGAGAGCACAAAGAACAAACTTATTCTTCCCTCACACAATAACAAAGTGCCTTAATGACAGCCACGCGAGCGACACACACCAACCCACTTTTTACTGTCCAGCTTAAGTATGTAAGAGGAAAAATCTATACTTGTACAAACTTAACAAAACCATTATGTGGTACTGTTGCAAGTCTCGTCCTGGACACAGAGACAAGCACAGTTTTGAAAATGAATGAAGTTATATTTCGATGTATATTGCAAAAAGCAAACTGTGTGGAACGGCACGACGATCAAAACAAGATAGTAAAGTAAACACCGGAGCAATCCAGCGTGGCTGAGACCAACTCTCCTTGTCCGTTCTCAAAGTTTGAAGTTGATAGATTGCCTTTCTATTTTAAGTCAGACTTTTTTTTTTAAAGAAACATTATTTCGCCCTATTTTGGAACGTTCTTAGAAAGGAAAAATACTACGTACAAAACCAGTGAATTTCGTTCACACACGTTGTATCCCCCCATACAACGTGTGTGAACGAAATTCATTGGTTTTGTACGTAGTATTTACTGTGGCTGTATATGTGTGTGTGTGACATACAAACACAGGAGAAATGTATATAAATACTTTCGGAATATACGTGATAAATGTCTTACCTCTTGATGTTAATATAATAGTAGCTATATACTATATGTCCCGTTCATTTAAATTTTGACTGAATAAAATTCACATTTTCTTTGAAGTTGTGCCCAAATATACACGAACATGTATTTAAAACACTCCAAAATATGTTTAATTATTATACAATCCCGTGTGCACGTTTGTACTGCCGGAGTAACACCATTACTTATCTGACACCTGAGGAATGGAGGGTGCTGTAATTTGAGATTTTGTGTCATGAAAGGATGTAAAGGATTCTTACGGTTAAATTTTTGCTGGAATGGAAATGAGCATGCTTTGTGCCATGGGGAAGGATTGCACATTTTACAGCTCAGTGACCATTTGGCGATCTTTTGAGAGGGTTTTTTTTTTTTTGAAAAGTGTTCCTTTGTGACAGCTCGAGCCAGATTGGGGGGTAGCTCATTTGCATCTCATTACCCAAGCAGGCAGCGGTCTGTATAAAACTGGCGGCAGGAGGACGAGAACATCAGACACACGCATAGTTTCATGTCTTGCAAAGAACAAGTAAGAAAGCAGCGAGGAAGTATCTTGGATCAGTACCATCATTGCTCGTAACACACCAAGGGGGAAAACACGCCGCACACAAGCACCTCTGCGGCTTAGTTGTCGTTTTCTTTGCACCTACAAGTTAGAATCTGTGCTGAACTGTAATATTTAATTTCACTATTGGAATTATTGCCTTGGCAAGGAATTTCGAGCTCATTCCCAAAATTTCATTTTGGGGTCTTGCTCCGCTCATTGTCTCGTTGGGGATTACTTTGTTTATTTACTTTTCGGAGAAGAAAAGTGCATGAACTGATGCAAGAAGATAAAGAGAAGACGGTCTGAAGAGAAAGAAATACCACATAAGACGTTCGTCTCAATTTTGCACTCATTAAACAAAGGACGGATCTGAGACAGTGGGACCAGTGAGAAAAGACTAACTTTCAATAAATATCTGAGCTGGGACGTGCAAAAGTTGCCCAGGCTCTACAATCTAGCGTCTAAAGAAGATTTAACCAAAATGGGACGTCAACCGCTTATGATAGCTGCTATCTTGTGTGCCTTGATGTGCCAGGTAAGACGAATATTTCTGTGCATGTTTACATGCATACATCTTATTCACTCAAGTTGTTATTAAATCGAAAAGTGTTTCCAGGTCGAATAATCGAACGTATATATATAATACTTCCACAGGCTTTTGGCTCTGGCGTTTTTGAACTGAAGTTACAGGAATTCCTGAACAAGAAAGGAGTGATGGGCAACACGAACTGCTGCAAAGGAGGGACTGCGTCCGGCTTCCAGCAGTGTGAATGTAAAACGTTTTTTAGGATCTGCCTAAAGCACTACCAGGCTAACGTGTCCCCCGAGCCCCCGTGCACTTACGGAGGCGCTGTAACCCCTGTACTCGGGTCCAACTCTTTTCAAGTCCCCGAAACAACATCAGACAACTTTTTCACCAACCCAGTCAGATTCCCTTTCGGCTTCACATGGCCTGTAAGTATTTTTGTTCTGACCTCCATCAATTTAGAGTGATCTAAATGTTTGGTGCTCTCGTATAACGGGATCCTTAAAATTAGCTTGCTGGATGTCAAGAAACTTTTTGGCACTCAGTCATATTCATATCTTTCTGTAAAACCCCTGTACCGGAAAATTAGGGGTCTTTGTGGTCTACAAAAATTGTTAGCTCTGCGAAAAATTCCGAAATGCAAAGATTCAAAACTGTGGACATTAAACAGGACGGTTAAGATCCCTATTATTAAACTCTCCTTTGAGAATTTCGAGGAAGTTATGAAACAAAAGTTACTTAAGCCTGCTTAGTGAATGCAATTTTTCACGTCCACGCAGGGGACCTTTTCTCTAATCATCGAAGCGCTGCACACTGACTCCAGCGAGGACCTTTCAACAGGTAGGAATGGCCAGTCACGGGTTTCACAGCCAGACACATAAATGAAACCTTGAAAGAGGCATATCGCCGCAGATGCACATGTCGAATTGGGATTGCGACGAGTGCAACGTGGCAACGGGTTCACCATGATCAACTCAGGATATTTATGATTTTTGCTCCTTCAGAAAATCCTGAGCGACTGATCAGTCGCATTACGACTCAGCGGCACCTCACGGTGGGAGAAGAGTGGTCCCAGGACCTGCAAACCGGGGGCAGGACTGAGCTGAAGTACTCCTACCGCTTCATTTGCGACGAACATTACTACGGCGACGGCTGCTCCGTGTTTTGCCGGCCTAGGGACGATGCTTTTGGCCACTTCACCTGCGGGGAACGAGGCGAGATCGTGTGCAATGCCGGCTGGAAGGGACATTACTGCACCGATCGTAAGTAAAACGAACGTAACACTTCACTAACCCCACGTTACCGCCAGCACAGTAAATAGTTTTTTTTTGTTTGCGAAATAACGTGCACTGGGTAAACATAATTAACGCGAGAGAGAAATGCTGACCTGCAACACCAGAAACCCCGTGTCCCCCGCCCTCTCTCCCGAGACTGAAGAATTCAAATTAGAAAAGTTTGCGGAATAATCACACGCGTGCCGCAGATTAAATTCAATGGGCGATTGGCTGCTTGGGGGTGCGCCTCTCCCTGATTGGCCCGGCGGAATGAGGTATTGTTGGAAGCCGGCAGCTGCCGAGTGAGAGCAGACAATGGAGCAGCTGTCCCGTAATGGCACCATGCACGCCAGCTGTCCGCTCTTATCTGTACGGACTCGGGGATCCTAAAAGGGGAGGAGCTGTGTGCACGGAATTAAAAAAAGGGGGTCTTCTGACCCACAGTGAGGAGAAAAAGGGGCTTTTGTGTGCATCGCCTTTGTCTGCAGGCAACTATGTTAAGCAGAAAGTCCTTCCCTGGTGATGGGGAAGGGCAATATTTCCTGGGTAGCAGTTAATAGGGCCACCAGCTCTTAGAAATAAATTAATGGGGATTTATTGATAATGGCCTTCTGAGGCTCTGATTAAACAGGAACCACACTGTGGTCAAGTCATGCATCTTACGTGGTTCTGATGTGCCTGTTCATCCCTTTGCAGCGATCTGCCTCCCCGGCTGCGACGAGGAACACGGCTTCTGTGACAAACCTGGGGAATGCAAGTGAGTCCCCCCCCCCCCCCCATACCCCCGTTGTCCTCCAGACCTCCCAATGTGGTGTGGGAATGTAAGCCTGCTTTCTAACCCCCATGTCCTCGTCAGATGTCGGGTGGGCTTCAGTGGACGTTACTGTGATGACTGCATCCGTTACCCAGGCTGTCTCCATGGTACCTGTCAACAGCCCTGGCAGTGCAATTGCCAGGAAGGCTGGGGAGGCCTCTTCTGCAACCAAGGTGGGTCCCGCTTGGCACTTGTCCACATCAGAAGGCCGATCTAAGAACATAAGAACTATACAAACGAGAGGAGGCCATTCGGCCCATCGAGCTCACTTGGGGAGAACTTAACTAATAGCTGCATACATTTGGACCATCAAATGCCCATTTCATGGCTTTTTCTGGGATTATCCTCATATGTTAGCCTTCCAGAGCCCAGAGAACTTTGTCCATTCCTTGCGCCATAAAAACTCGTCTAAGATAAACACATAAGGGGGGGGTCAGTAAGCTGCTTGCACCTGCTTCCTCATCAGACTGCCTGCCGGAAAGCTCACGATTTGCCACTGTGGGGAGACCAGAGTCAGATGTTCCTTTTTCATGTTTCAGATCTCAATTACTGCACCCACCACAAGCCCTGCATGAATGGAGCCACTTGTACTAACACTGGCCAGGGGAGCTACACCTGCTCTTGCCGGCCAGGCTTCACGGGGGCCAGTTGCGAGATTGAGGTCAACGAATGCTCCAACAACCCCTGCAGGAATGGGGGAAGCTGCACTGTAAGCACCAGCCTTTGTGTTCCAGCTGCCCACACTGCTGGCTTCTCTCTGGGGTCTAGATCTTCTCCCAGATCCAACTCTGGAGGGTTGCCATGCTACTGCAGGCTAGATAGATATATCAAGTGTACTGCCAGGAAGGCCGCAGATGTCCTAAGTGTGCGCTCATCTCTCCTGACAGGATCTGGAGAACACCTACAGCTGCGTCTGCCCACCTGGTTTCTATGGCACCAACTGCGACCTGAGTGCCGTCACCTGTGCTGACGGTCCATGCTTCAATGATGGGCGCTGTGTGGACAACCCGGATGGGGGCTACTTCTGCCAGTGCCCCGCGGGATACTCCGGCTTCAACTGTGAGAAGAAAATTGAACCCTGCAGCTCCAGCCCCTGCACCAATGGTGAGGCTGGTGACACCATTTATTGGCTGCCTCAGAAGCAGCCGCAGTCCTTCTCTGGAGGAGGATTTAGATATGGCATGTAGCAGATGCTGACAGACTTCTATCCCATTTCAGGTGCTCAGTGCATGGACCATGGCACATCATATTTGTGTCAGTGTCTGGAAGGCTTTGTTGGGAAGAACTGTGATGACAGCATAAATATGTGCTCCAGCTACCCTTGCCAGAATGGTGGCACATGTCAGGACGGCATCGATGACTATACCTGTACGTGTCCACCGGGCTACGTAGGCAAGAACTGCAGCCAACCTGTGAGCTGGTGTGAGCACAACCCATGCCACAACGGCGCCACCTGCCACGAGCGTGACGGCCGCTACGTGTGTGCCTGTTTCCAGGGCTACGGTGGCAAGAACTGCCAGTTTCTGCTTCCTGAGCACTCTGGAAGCCAGCCAGATGTGAAGGCACCTGGAAAGAGGTACTCAGAGGCAGGCGAGTTGCCGTGGACCGCTGTGTGCGCTGGTATCATCCTGGTGCTCCTGCTGCTGCTGGGTGGTGCTGTGCTGGCTGTGTATTTCCGGGTGAAGGGTCAGCGTCAGGGCCAGCTGGCAGACGGGCATAGCGAGTCTGAGACCATGAACAACCTGACCCACAACCGCCACCATGAGAAGGACCTTTCAGTAAGCGTGGTTAGCTCCACGCAGATCAAGAACACCAACAAGAAGGTGGACTTCCGTTGCGACAACGGCAGTGCAGAGCGAAACAGCTACAAGGCCCGCAACCCTGCCATGGATTACAATCTGGTGTACGAGCTGAAGCACGAGGAGCTGCCTATAGTGCCGGGCAATCATGGCAGGGGCGACTGCGAGCTGCAAGAGAAGCACTGCAAACGGCTAAAGAGGTAAGTCCTGGAGCGAAAGCCAAATGCTGCAGCAAGCCCATCCGATGTCAGCTCAGGCCATGGAGCGCCTTTGCTGCCTGAGGCTGAACCAGCTTTCCATTATCTTTGCAGTGATGCTTCAGAAATAAAGCAGCCAGAGTCTGCATGCAAAGATACAAAGTACCAGTCCGTGTACGTGATATCTGAAGAGAAGGATGAATGTATTATCGCAACTGAGGTGAGTGCACCTTTCTGATCTCTTGCTGCTCTTCTAGTGTGTTTGCCTTGGCCTGACTGTGCCTAAGCAAAACCTCGAGGCTATGAGACTCACCTGCATGTAATCCTTCTGCTGCCTTGTCCAGGTCTAACAGCACGACAGGGTCCTGCTTCTTGTCTGCTCTATGGGGAGGTTTTACTCCAGTGAATGCTGCTCAAACCAGAGGGAAGGTTTCCTTAGTGTGAGGTGCTGCTGCGGGACTGAGACGTCAAAACTGATATTCAGGATGAGCTGGTTCTCAACTGAAGCGAGCACAGCGACTGCACAGGATGTTGGCCCTTGGCGGCCTGCTCTCATTACGTTTTCCAGGAAGGTGCATGTTGGTCCTGTTGCACCAGCTGCGAGGACGGTTTTACCTCATTGCACTATGAACAGTTGTGTTTTTTTATGGCATATCTAATGCGAATGACGGCGACTCGATCACTGTGTACATCAAACCTGCAATGGCCGCGGTATCCCAATGTCGCCACCCTGGTGACACCATGCTGTCCGTTCTGTTCAAATACTGTGGCTTTTTTGTAAGTTGTATTCTTTTATTTAATTGTACTATATGTGTTCAATTTTGTGAATTGATGTATTTTGTGAAGTTCATTTTTTTTATAATTTTTTAATTTAAGATTTTTTTTTGCAAATGTGTATAAAGGCACTTCGGGTTAACGTGACTTTTTTCCCAGCAAAAATGTATTTAAGAAGCTTTGTACAGAATTTATTTTAATTGTGTAATTACTGTTTTGTTAATGAAAAAAAATCATTGATTATTTTTTCAAATAAATAATATTATACAAATGGAATTTTTTCCATGTTTTTTTGTCTAAACTACAAAAAACACTGAAAATGATGGTTAAAAAGAGTACAATTGGTACTTAATAAATTACTTATTGGTAATTCACATTTGCTGTAATAATTATGACAGCATAGCAACTTCCCATGCACTACTGGAAAATTCCACATTCAGTTCACTCCTAAACCTAGATGCCAGGATATACCATTCCAAAACAGATGCAGAGAACAATTGGCTTACTGGCAGCTCATTAATGAAAAAAAACTTTGCTTATGGCCACTTTTAAGTGGGAAAGAAGTGGTGAGAATCTGAGGGAGCCTGACCATGCCTTCGTAAAACTTTGACACTCACTTGCATCCTCTCCTTTCTGTTGCCTTGTCCAGTTCTAACAGCATGACAGGGGCCTGCTTCTTGTCTGCTCTATGGGGAGATTTTACTCCAGTGAATGCTGCTCAAACCAGAGGGCATGGTCCTGTGGCTGACAGACGACATACAAGGTCAGACCGTCAGGCTCGTACTCAGATCAGGCATATATTCAGAACAGCATGAAATTAAAAAACTGAGGGATGGTTTCCCCAGAAGATCTATATGAAGTTCTCCTGAGGACCTCAGTTACCAATTAACAACCACCAAGGCACCCCAGAATATGGCCAGAAACAGGTTGAACTTATAAAGGAAGGGGCTGAACTGCCTTCCCTATGTAGGAGATTTACTGTAGGATAAAAGATATTTATTTAATCAGGGATTTAATACATATACAAAGAAAGAAACTTGAGCAAAGGTGGCTGGTCACGCAGTGGGTTTAGTGAAAGTACAGCCAGCTGTAAGCCGAAGCATGTGAGCAGCTTTCCATCCATAGGCCGTCTGTGGGAAGGGGGTGGGGTCTCTTGCCCTTTCTCTCCATCATCCCAGGGTGCTCCTGAAGGACAGAGGGGAAGGGTGGGGGTGACTCCATTTTCCCTGCGGACCAGGACAGCTGAAGCCTTCCTGAGTCACTAAGACGCAGCTGTCCAGATGGTGACGACCACAAAAAATGTGCATTCAGATGCCCAGAGTGAGGGGATGAAATCAAAGTGACAAAACAGCAGTGCAATTTGAGATGAGCCCATCGACAGCTGTGTTTTGGGCACTGCAACAAACTTATTGTAATCCTGCAGACAGCCGGAACTGGGGCAGATTGCAGCCCTGCTAAGAACAGCAGCTGAAATGTGTAGGATGCCATCCTGGACTTCATGATGAGACAAGCTGAGATGTGCACCCATGATCAGAAGATTTACTGAGCTCCAACCAGCTCCAGGTAGGTCACCAGGGTACTTGGGCTGCTGGTCAGGGGTGCGTTTCCCAAAAGCTCCCATTTGCAACTTACATGTCTTGGACCCATTCAGCTGCATGGTTTTAACTATGTAAGCTGCTAACTGCATTAGCAACTATGCTTTTGGGAAATGCATCCCAGGATGGATGTTGCTAAGATACCTGAGACTCAATCACCCAGGCTGCTTTCTCTGACTGATCAAGACAGAAGAATCAGCAAAGAATCAGCTCAGTCAGCTGCATTCTCCCACTCATGTGAGACCACCACGGTAGCGGGAGCCCTGAACACCTTACTATCACTGCTGGAGAATGTCCCTGAGCAGGTTCGTCCATGTGACACATCACATCAGGCTACTGATGTTCCCACCTGGACTCCAAACAAATGGAATCGTGTAGAGTGTGAAGCGATTATGCCACAGCACTACTTTTTCTACATTGCCAAGGATGGGAGGAAGCAGAGGCCTACCCTTCTAACCACAACAGAAGACCCTCGGAGTACCGCAAAGGGTGGAATGACACAGAACACCAAAATGGACAAGACAGAGGATAAGAATTCACCACTACTTTGACTTCCCAGAGGAAACCTGGATCTTAAAGGATACAAGTCTGGGAAACTAAGAAATATTTAAAAGTAAACAGGTAGGATCTCTGAAGGGTAGCAAAGATCATTTGCCTCTGATGGGCATGTTGCCATGACAGCCTTGATCTGCTGGGGGGCTGAGGATGACAAACAGCTGGAGGAGGATCCCCACATCAGACCAGGTCTCAGATGACCCACGATGACTGAAGTGGGATAAGCCTCCCTGATCCACCCCCGGCCACCACAGTGCACACCGCCTGTTGTAGCCAGAACATCCCCCTCAGCCACTATCGGGTTACCTGCGAAAATGATAAACAAGCTTCATAAATGCAAACAGGTGTGTAGAGTAGGCGGGTAACCAATGGAAGGGTAATGTGCAACGAGTGACCAATGAGAGGATGGCGGACAGCAGGCATGGCTGCTTTGGAAGGGGGGGGGGTGGTGCCGTGTCATGCTGCTTCAATGACACTTGCAGGCAAGTGTTCCCAAATGAGGCCTGCTTTCTGCTGGCACCTGTTGTTCTTGGTCTAACAGACACACACACACACACACACGGTGGTGTGTGGGTTTCCTCCCACAGTCCAAATCCATGCAGATTAGGTCAACTGGCTACTCTAAATTGCCCGTGAGTGTGTGTGTGGCAGCTTGTCTGTGTTGGCCCTGTGGTGGACTGGCGACCTGCCTCTTGCCCGCTCCAGCTTCCCCGTGACCCAGGTGGATTGGTATGGATATATATATACATAATATTCTTACATGGTATGGATATATGTATACATAATATTCTTAGCAGCAACTCATGGAGTTTTAATAATTTTTTTTATATATATTTAATTTTAATTAAAACTCCATGAGTGAGGTTTTTTTATCACATTGTAAGGACATTTGGTTCCCACAATGTAATGTATATCTGACCCCACCCCCCCCCCCCCCCCCCCCCACACACACACACACACACACACAAGAGATGCAGGGTAGGACAGTTAACATGTCTCCTCACTCTCCCAGACAAAGAGAGGCACCCTGGACATGGCAGTCAGGCACCGCCAAGGAGAATATAAACATCACAACTGGCTCCCTGGCAGGATAATGGAAACGACGCTGTAAACGACCCTTATTTACCACCCACTAAAGTTTACCATTTGCTGACAAATTGGCCTATGTGAAGTCACCCTGACAAAACATAACCAAGCATCCTGCCAAAACATAAATCACCATAACCTGGACATAGGTGGCAGTGATTGATTCATTAAAATTGCGACTGCGCACCAGTGCCCACTGTGTAGCAGTATGTCGTGTCGTACAGTGCAGCACGTCAGGGAATTCTTACACACACCATACAGCAAACTCATATCTGCAGAGGGAATCCCTTCCCTGGGAACAGAGGCAGCCGGCCAATAGGTCACAGGCTCCAAGCTCTGCCTCCAACCCCCCACCACCATGCAGCCAATCATCTGCCTTCACAATGGGCCTCTGTCGCCTCCAGTTTCTGACTGGCCCTCCCCCTGATTTATCTTTGACCCCATTGAAAGTTCCACTTAGACGTTCCCCCAACTTCACTCACTCATTCACTCTCTCCACAGGTGTGTAATATGACAGAGCATAGTCATAATGGGGTACGGCTGTGCCTGCCCCCCCCCCATTCATGCACAGCCCCCAGGCCCTAGAAAAGGGCTGTTTGTTCCTGGGATAGGTAGGGTTAAAGGCAATGCTGTCAGGATCGCCCCCCATGCCCCCGACTGGCAGTGGCAGAAACCCAGCGATTCGGGTGACTGGCACTTCTTAGACTATTAGTTCATCAATGAGCTATCTGGTTTCTGCACCGGCCCAGGCTGACCTCCCAGGCTGTGGTCTCACTGCTGTCACCAACACTGAGATTTGTGACCTTTTTCCTGGGGCACTCTGATCTACTTCTTTGGACCTGAAAATGAGTGGCTCACAAACCCTATGTCTCAATAGAAATCAAGCCTACATTCAGATGAAGTCCCACCAAGAGCTTTTACTCCAGTCAGGACAGCACCTGGAGATGCCAGGCCCAGTCAGGTCCAGGTCACAGGCCTCACTGGGAACCAGGGGAGATTGGCATGTTTCTTTAACCATTTGCATTCATGATGTTTTTAATTAGCTTGCAGCATGTACACTTGCCAATAGTGTCACATAACAAATTCATCAAATAAATACAATTAAACGTTTTTGTTTGTCAGGCAGTATTTGACTCTACCAACCTAGTCTGTGTGCTGCATGTGTGGTCACCCACACACAATTTGTTTATTGCCTTAACAATCTAATAACCTGGCCACGAGTGCACATATATAAACACATACATGTGTATGATTTTTATATACAGTGGTACCTCAGAACTCGAACTTAATCCGTTCAGAACTCCAGATCGAATCCTAAAAAATTTGAGTTCTGATCGAATTTACCCCATAAGAAAAAATGGAAAACCAATTCATTGGTTCCCGGCCCCAAAAAATTACACCTAAATATGTTTTTTTTAGCATTTAAAGACAAAATGAACAGGATAAAACAAGAAGAGCATATACTGTACTAAACATCCATTGTCCAACCCGCTTATCCTACTGGGTCGCGGGGGTCTGGAGCCTATCCCGGAAGCAATGGGCACGAGGCAGGGAACAAACCTGGATGGGGGGCCAGCCCATTCACTCATACATGCACACCTAAGGGCAATTTAGCAAAGCCAATTAGTCTCAGCATGTCTTTGGACTGTGGGGGAAAACTGGAGTACCCGGAGAAAACCCCACGACGACACAGGGAGAACATGCAAACTGCACACACATGTGACGCAGGCAGAGACTCGAACCCAGGTCCCAGAGGTGGGAGGCAACAGTGCTAACCACTGCACCACCAAGCCACCCTGTACTAAACATATCTAAGCACATCTATCAAAACAGTAATTTGTAAAGTAAGAAAATAAATGTATCCAAACAATGTGTCCTGCCCCGATCGTCCGCTCCTTCCGTGTGCCACGCCCCCTCGATCGTTAACCCTGTGTGGAATCCCCGTGTGATCAGCTGTTTCTGATTGTTTTCATTAGCCCTCTGTATTTCGTCTGCGTTTCAGTTTGTTTCCCCAGTCCGGTCATTGTATTGTCCATCTGC